ACAAATACTCAACCATACAGAAGAAATGTCTCGCAATCGTCTGGGCGTTGGATAAATGGCGGCCATATCTGCTAGGTCAGCGATTTCACGTCGAAACGGACTACAAGCCTTTGAAATGGATTATGTCTACCAAAGACCCCAAGGGAAAGCTAGCGCGATAGGTGCTACGCCTACAGGAATACGATTTCACGATAAATCACGTGCTGGGGAATGAGGATCAAACTGCGGAGTTGTGTAACGCGTGATAAACAAAGATGACTTTTCGAGTGTGACTTTCGGTAATTAAGGTATACTATTGGAGCAGGATCCGGGACAGTTGTCGGCCGAGCAACGTAGTGACAAACTTTCGAGCAAAGTGACCACCGCACGAATAACCAGTCAATCATTCATAAACAAGAGCGAACGCAAGCAGCTCGGACCGTTTGCGAGAAATCTTGTAAAGCTACAAGTAAATGAAGCGGGGATCCCGATGTGGATTCTAGGTGGCAACACTTCGGTGCCTGTTATTCTGACGAAACTAAAGCGGTGGCTGGTGATTTCTTGTCACGACATGGCACATCCCGCTTGTTTCAGGACCTACGATCTGCTGAGAAAACCCGCCTGTTGGCCGGATATGAAGATTAACGTCGGGACAACTGCTTTCGTGTAACCAATATCAACTCTTGAAAGCCGCCTGTCGCGTTTGGGAATATGGTTCACCACTGTCTGTAGAGTTCGTAAAATTCGTCTTTGTCCCTTTCCGCTGTGGGTTGGTTTTGTGTGTAGACAGAGATTATGGTCAGATTCATCGAGTGACATTTCAAGCGAGCAACTGCTATTCTACCTGATACTGGCTTCCATGAAAGGTGAGCGTAGTATGTCTGGCAACTGAGCCATGGCGACCCCTTGATTGACATTTTTATCTTCCTGCCCACTGTAGTAAAACTAATATGAGATGTCTACACCAGGGGCTTTGATTTGTCGTGAGCCATAGCCGGGTACTCGAGATTCTGATAGGCATGCTATATCGATCTGGTAGTCATGTAGTGTGTGCATCCTCAGCACTTGGCTGCCGACATCCAACAGGGTTCGAAATAATTTGGGACACTGGTAGCCCGGCTTGGTTGCTCACCTGTTGATCGTTTTTCCGAGCTTGGTAAAGAGATCGCATACGTTTCACCACCATGCGAGGTGGCATCTTCAGGGCGGTAATAGGCAGTGTATAATGCTGCTTATTGGATTGTCAGTCCGTCATCCACGGGCAGGTGACTTTTGAAGATGGCAATTTCGATTTGCGCCACGTGATCTCTGCCCATTTGCTTCCATGGCTGTACTACATCTTGCGATTCGCCGGAGATCTTTCTTTCTGAGTTGATGGTACACGGGGTCGATGTCGATACGCATGTTGATCGAATTATTAAAGGAGTACCATGCTTCTAGGAACTCTTCCTTTCTGTGTTGTTGTTTGAGCTAAAATCACCGTTTTGTTCCAATTGAAGCTATGTCCCTTCTCATCCACATGCGCTGAGACAAGAGACGATGCATAATGTTTTTTACAAGCCCTCTAATGTTCTTGTGTTCTTGTGGACAATTTCCTTCCTTCCAACAGGGTTCTGACATTCCAGCATCCAATGAATAATGGCTTCCAGGGATTGAGGGACCTAGCTAGCTTACTTGTCACTCTGGCCACTGGGTTAGCGCAGAGTATGTCGCCTACCGGGAATGCAGTTGCATAAGAAGAATCGCGGGTAGCGGACATGTAATGAAGTTTTGTGTGGATCATGGGTACGTATGAGGACCCCATCCTCATCCGGTTTTCGTTCAAGGGTTCACCTCTAGTCTTTGCTTAGCCAACTGCTACCTACAGGGCAGCAGGAATCTGAAAAATTGTCTTAACTTCTGGCCCTTGGATCAAGGGTCGATCTATTCCGCCCAGTTGTCAGGAATGACGCCCGTGGGTACGAGCTCACCGAGAACATTGTTCCCGGTTACCCCCATCTGGTTTAGCCCGTCTGCCTATCGGTTGACCGGGGTGTGGCCACTGCCACGTGCAAGCAGCTTCTTGGAGCCGCGGATGAAAGCTGGGTGACAGGTGGCGATCCAAGGTAGGTGGACTACCCTGGAGGATAAGGCAGGTCCCCTAACAGAGTGGCTACTCCCTGGCACCCGGGTACTGCGTACCGGCGTACTGCTGCTGCCTTTGACGGCACGTAGCCTAGAGTTAACAAGCTTGGTTTGTACTCTGACGGCGCGGGTTCGAGCCTGCCTAGAGACCGGGCGAGACTCGCAGTATCCTTAGCTCACGTGCAAGTTGTGATGGATGCGCACCAGCGACGACACTGCGTACCGACTTACTGCTGATGCTAATTTTAGTTGAGTTTTAGGGTTTGTCTCTCTTTCAACTGACTGACCTGCACTTTATAGGTTAGGGAAACGGGTTTACAACATTGGGATGCGCCCTGTGTTGCTATGTGAATCAAATACAAAGCCACTTCACGTTGAGAATATTAGAAGTTCGCTCGTGTTCGCTCTCTAGATTATCTGCGGAGCATTAATCGTCCTTAGTGGACAAACCGAATGATTAACGCTGCTGTTCATCATACGATGTCCGGAAGCAGTCCTTCCTGGCGCCTAGTTGGCCTGCCGACTGATTTCAACTCGCCTTCCGTGCTCCGCATGCCGCCTACCGTCCGGCCACATCGACTTGTGTTGTCTGATGGCTTTACCGCATCCAGTTGGGAGAAACCCCGGGATAACATAAAGGAAATTGCAAAAAGTTCACATCTTTCGGTACTTGAGGTCATCGGGATCGTCCACCTTGGCGGTTGGATACTCTGTACACTGTGACAGACACCCACTGAATGATGGCTTTCTGTTCGTTCCCTTATCTTTAAATTTCGCGTGCCGATTCAGTTCTTTGAATCAGTGCACCTGTATTTACTGGATGTCAGCTCGTTCGTCATTTGTTCTTCATCGTCATCGTGATGCCTTAATGGGCCGCCAATGCTTCTAGGTTTTTCCAGCAATATTTCGCCCACACACGGCCACGGAACTCTACCATTCTCCGTAATCACGCCGATCTTACTGTCATGCGCCGATGGCTCATGGGTGTACATACCTGGATTGACATTGTGCATTAGTGCGTCGTCGTAGTAACGTAGATCATAGCGACCGGATTTGCCTCAGTTTGATGCACGAATGATGATTGCTCGGCTACTCCCAGGAGAACGACTTCTTGACAGAGTATGCAGACGACATTGCCCTCATCTGTGACAGCTCGCAGACGTGCCAAGCGGCACTGGACAGATTAGCACTGGCTGTCAGCCGCTTCGGGCTTTGCTTTGCACCATCGAAGTGCAAAGCGTTCCTTCAAGCTTGCCAGGGATCGTCTCCTGCGCTGACTCTTGGTGCGGATCTGCTAGAAGTCGTCCAAAAATTTAACTGCCTCGGAAGTTGTATCAGCGCCCTTGGGATTGAAGATGAGATCACGAACCTTATATCAAAAGCTCGAAGTGCTTTTGCTAGTCTTCGCCACCTATGGCGGCGACGTGACATCACTCTTGCCCTGGAGGGTAGAGTGTACAGTGCAGCGGTACGTTCGACCTTACTGTACGGTTGTGAAACCTGGCCCCTAAGATCGGTGAACATAAAGGGGCTAGTTACATTCGACCATCGGTGCCTTCGCAGTTTGGCTCACATCTGGTGGGAACACCGCGTGAGTAACGAGCGTGTTCGTCGCCTTGTTTACAGCATAGGAAAAGGAACTGAACCGCTCAGCACCGTCATTTCACGCACCAGGCTCCGATGGCTTGGCCACATGTTGCGCATACCAGCCCACCGAATTCCACGACGTGCGTTGTTTGCTCACCGGGGATGTGGATGGAAGAAGAGGAGTAGTTGCCAAGTGATGACTTGGTCCAGAGGAATAAAGACCCTCACTTCGGAGCTGTCCTCGGTTGGAGCGTCACGGCTCCCTGGTTGGGGTCCAAAAGACGGTGAACACGTTTGGCTGGATACACTTGCTGACATTGCAAGGAGCCGTCCTCCGTGGCGTTTGTGCTGTGAGTATCTTTGTCCGTCCCCATCCCCATAGCGTGCGTCATGAAAATTGCAATGGATAACAATGATGGGAAAATGGAATTGAACGCAAGCGGAATACAAGGAAGAGGTAGGACCGAAGCGCATAGAAAGCAGTAGTAACAGTGAGATGTAGGAGACCGAACTGACTCTGACGCTGCGCTATATATTCGACAGACTTTCCAACCAGTGATGTGGACTATCCCGAGTTACCCATCCACGGAGACGGCACGTAGCAATCCGGTTAGGTTCTTCGGTCAACTTCTTCATATTTTTTATGCCGTGTCATTGACTGGCCACTTCATAGTTTCGCCCAACTGATTGCAGCGATAGCATACCATGCACACTAAGCAAAACAGTCAAAGGGTATACGAAGGATATGATTTCCTTAACGTGGGCGTCATTCAAATTATATTACTGCTGACAAGCCATTTACCATTACGCGTTAAAGCCGTTACCACTGCAATCAAATTGCTCACATATTAACTTCTCTAGTTTGCTCTTTGTTACATAACACTGTCAAACCCCCACAGCTGGTGCATTGATTTCCTTCGTCAGCAATTTAGTGTTTTATTGCCAACAAATTGTCCGGTCTTTGGCGCCGACGTGTATGCTTTCTGGGGCTAGCATGATCGACTTTTTACTAATTTGCTATATCTGTGGTTGACTTTTACAATTTATTTTTTCGGTTTGACTTGTTCAAGAATCTGCTGTTGACTCTTTTACAGGCTTAGTTGATGATCGAACACTATTACATTCGTTGCATGCTTTGGTCTGGTTTCAATCTACCCTATAGCAACAGTACTTCTGCAAAATTACTAGTTGTTTAGCTTCTGAAATGTGATTGGTGTTGTGAGGAAATTAACATGTGTTTACGTGTTTTTTTGCTTTCCTTGCTTCTCTAAGGAACCACTGCTGGGGTGCTAAAATTTCCGCTGTCACGAATGGACCCCACGAAACGGGCGTTACGGGAAGAATCAAAGCACTATAATCAACCATCCAACTCAACGACAGCTTTCGCCGAATCCTGCGGGTTTAAATACTTAACAGGTATGTCAGGTGAAGCTCTATATATCGTCTTTTTGCTTTTTTTCCTTTTCTTCTGTAGCCGCTATTGTTTCTCATCTTCGGTGACGATGTGAGTCAAGTCGACAGGATCCATCGATGCCAACATTGAACAACTTGCAGTTCTTCGCACTAATGCAGCACTGTCAACCGGTGGCCACATAGTATAAAGCTCCTACATTGTAGTCCAAAGGCCGCCTGTTCGAATCTACATAGGTACGGGCAATCCCACGATATCTATTGCCCGAACACAAATGATGGTGATCACACGTTGTCGGTTCGGCCTACCGACGGGCTACTGATACCTCTGCTAGTGCGACACTGCCGCACCATAATGGCCTGGCGTGAAACTCACATTCCTTCGGCAGATATTCAGACTTAAGATGCACACAACTTACCAATAACACGCGGTCGTAAACTCTTGCTTATCGTACTAAGCTAAGGCACACATTTTCGCCGACAAATTTATATGTTGCGCCTAGGTGGCAATGTATGATGGAGCAGTAATATAAGTGTGGGTTGCACTATGAGTTTGGATGACTCAAGCCATGCTTATGGTGGGGAACACGATCCGACAATGTAGCTTGTTGGTAAGAGTCAGAGTGACACTCGTATTGTGGTATGTTTACGTGCTCGCGATGGCCACTTAGGCACTGTCAGAATGACATATGATCACGGACGGTAAATGCAATCTTTACGAGTGATTTAGACGAATCATCATAACCCCTATCACTGATTGGATGCAACATTTAATACGTTTGGAGTGGATACTTCTCACCTTGTCGATCGAACGGGAACCCTTGAAGTTATCAACTCTAGTAATAGCTTGTTGAGTGCTTGATGATGATCGGCGCGGTGTAGACAGATACTACCTCAATCAGTCGTTCCAAATGCAAACTGATCACTTGTGTACGAGCCAAAGAGAGAAATAAAGTCTGACTCAGTCCAGTGGGCTCAAAGCTTAGCTGTATCACGAACAACGACGGAGCAGGTTTGCTGCAACAGCTGCGAGCGGACGCGATGCATTCACACAGGCCAGACTGACAAAGAAGTACTGATGCTCCTAGGCATGACTCAGGGTGAACAATGCAGACGAAGCAGAAGTCTATTAAAGCGAGCAGACCGTATATATATATCAGTGAACACTGTCAGACTGCGGAAGATGCGAAAATGAAAAGCGACCAATGTGTAAGTGTCGCGACAAAATAACGCTTTCTTCACTTTTCCTTTTCACCGAGGCCCGAAACTTCTTGGGGATCTGGGATTGAACTGAGGAACAGCGTTTTCGCCTGAGACGGATGTAATAACCCACAAGGACCTACCTGGACCATGGCTGTACACCAAAAGAATTCAACTGCACTCACCACTACTATCGTTGGATTTGATGTCTTCACATTCCCGAAATGTATACATAATCTGAAAAATTCAGACACCAGAAACTTTTGATTTTTTACCTGTCGTTCTCTCCGACTAGGAAACCTGTTACAACTTGGTCGGTATACCACTCACATCCTCACCGGATAACATATTCTACGCATTTCAGACCCTTAGTTACCTTTGGCGACGGTGGGACATTATTTTATTTATTTCTATGAATGTTTTCGACACAACTATGCGAACCGTGGCACCCTATGGCTCAGGGACTTGGTAATCGTACACCGATGATTTTAAAATTCTATCTTTGTCTATCATCATACACTATTGATTTTTGCTTTTTACACAGTGGGGGCTCAAAATTGGTACTACTAGAGTGCATATCATTGCAACTTTCCATTTGGTCACTAGTATTTGTTTAACTCTAAGTGGCTATATCGGCTAGCTTATGTGCTTGCATGTGTGTCTACACCAACACTGTACTAGCGTGGGTGAGATCCAGAGATCGTCAGTCCACCATATGGCAGACCAGCACGAAGAAGAGTTGAGTTGAGTCGGTGCTGATCGTCTCTTCCACGGTACTGGCCACATCCTTTATTAAGTAATCTTGTCTAATGCGGTGTTTTTGGTGGCGCAATCGCTCTCTCCATTCCATGATTTTGACTTGCGTTTCCATTCTTTTCTTCTGATGGTATTGATTATTGCTGCTGGGGTTTCGTAGGCCATGCCGACTGAACATATATTTCGCTTTTTTTGGCTCATAGTGAACTATCTGGATTAAACTGGACTGCGCTACGGTTCCCGTCTATCATTGGTCCGTCTATTAACTCTTGTTGCAACGCTGAACAATCATATACTTCAATCTTAAGCGATTTCAACTTTTTTGCTATCAGTGGCCAGCTGGGTTTATTTCTTTTTCTCTTTCAACCTTGTGTCTTTGTTGCAGCTCAACCTGTGCCCACAACCGAGCCGAAGAGCTACACTCCCATTGGGAACGCCTTGCAAGACGCACGTGGTCTACAGATTAATCTCTTAAACATGCCTACTTATGTTCGACGCGATATTTCCACGGATGGCGAGACCAGTACCACTTTGGAGGCTAGCGATTTCGAGTTGACCCAACTGAGGAAGAGGCATCTCTCCGATATCAGTGTTGATGTAGGTCGCTGGTCAGGTGATAAGAACTACCGTCTGCTCACCACTAGGATGGATCCACGACAATATCACGACCGTGCCTGGTGCTCGGATACACCGGGCTTCGTGTGCTCCGACCAGGTGAGCTTCCCCCTACAAATTTATGTTTTCGGCACGGAGCGCGTTTTACGTAGCATTGATTTTCTACACTGATAGAGCACTTGCGGCGGACATTTCGTACCGGCCAATCGAAGCACCCTAGCTTCTGGGTGTTCACACACTAAAATCTCCAACAGATGTGTGCGGGAAACGTTGTAAAGTCTAATTCAACTCATCCGCTAACCTTTGTTTCAGCAGCTCGGTCCTACCACAGTGCTTTGAATTTGCAAAAGATAAATCGAAGCGTGCAACAGTCAGTCTGTCTAAAAGTGCCACCACTAAGGCTATGTCCTACTCCGTGTGAGTTAGCTCATCCGTATACATTACACTTCCGATTTGGTCACGGGCAGACCTTCCTCATTGGAAGAGGCTAAGAACTCAGCGGCATTCGTGACTTGCCGAACAACCCCGTGGTGCCAGCTGGGTGCTTCGGGTTTAACCCGTTCCAACAAATAGTTCGGCGACAGTGTTCCAGGACGTGGTGGGTTTTCGCCTGGCAAGCGTTCTCCCTATAAAAAGCCATAAATGTCTGATTAAAAACACTGACTTGGCGGATGTGACTGGCTACTAAGTAAAGTCACTGTCCAAGCTTATCAAATCCACAGACGTCAAACATTTCTTTAGACACCGGCGACGCGATCGAATTCACCCAAAAGTAACATTTACAAACACAAGCAACACACCTACCTACATGCCTACTGTTAAGTATGGCCCTTAGCCGATGAACGGAACAGCACACGCACGCTTAAAAGCATCCTGCGTTACAGTGGCTAGAAGAGTCGAAAAGAAAAACCAATGAAATAAGGAAAGTAAGGCAAGGTCATTCTCAACCAATCATGTGAGGGCCTGTGTTTACGAATCGATACTCAAGTGCGTCCGTGACATTCCTCGCTTCCCTAGTCAAAACTACAGACTCCGGGTTGATACCGTGCATTTTGCTCGTCTTAATTCTGGTTGTACCGCATCTCTTTGTAGTTCCTTGTTTTGTGAAGCAGATTCTCCGTCCGTTATTGGGTCAGTAGCTGTCGCTTTTTGCTCCCGCTCCTGTGGTTCGTGGCCGGATATGGTCAAAATGTCGACGCACTACACGGCCTTGCTCCAGCTTTATCTTTGATTGGTTACTTGTTGAGGATATGAGTGTAGCAGTTTGCCAGCTTGTTTCCTGAGGTAGTCTTGTGTATACCGGATCAAAATCTTTAAGACATTTCCTCTGGCATCTTTACATCCACACACATTTCCCCTACTTTTCCTCCATTCTCCTTCAAGGGTTCGGAAAATGTAGGTGCAGTCTCGTTCGTAGTGTCCGTCCAAAGCTTAATTCCGCGGGTGACTTTTCTGTCGACTCAGTCGGTGTCGTGCGGTAAGAGAACAGGAGACGATCCAACTTAGTTTGTAGTCCCATGAGTCTGCTCGAAGTGACCTTGCTTAACAGTCTGGACTACACGTTCTGCTACTCCCTTCGATGCGGGATGGCACGGCGCAGACTTAATCTGTTGTATTCTGTTGTTGCTCAGAAACTGTTTAAACTCTTCACTGGTAAATGCGGTTCCCTTGTCGGTGCATACCATTTCTGGGATACCGAAAATGGCGAATATGGAGCGCATTTTTGCAACTGTTGCTGCGGAAGTCGCATCTGGAACTGAATGTACTTCTATCCGGTTAGAATGGACATCAGTCAAGAGTAGACACATTAACCCATTGATTGGGCCAAAGTAGTCTGCCTGTACCCGCTGCCAAGGCCTCTCCGGCCAACGCCATGGATGTATTGGTCCAAGTGATTCTTGCTTTCGGTATTTCTGACGTTGTTCGCAGTTTTTCAGCAGCCTCTATATCCTGGTCAATGTTCGGCCACCGACAGTAACCACGTGCCAGCGCCTTCATCCTGTTCACGCCAAGGTGTGCGTCATGCAGCTCTCTCAGCAATTGGGGCCGTCGTTCTTCTGTTCGAACTATACGCGAGCCTCGAAATATACAGCCGTCGTATAGACTCAACTCATTACTCCGACAGGCGAATGGTTTCAGTTCGTCTAACCTGCTTGTAGGCCATCCGGTCATCAAGAACCGTTTCACCATCGACAACACAGTGTCCCGGTCTTTCAGGCGCCGCACCACGTCACTGCGGATGGGTCTTTTCATGGTGTTGCATCTAATTGATAAACTCCATGGGTTCACTAATCGTTTTTGTGCCATGCTGGTGCGGGAGGCCACTAAGTGCATCGGCAATGGTATTACTTGATCCGTTTACATACTGAAGTTTGTAGTTATAGGCGCTCAATGGTAGTGTTCACATTTGCATTCAAGGCGAAAACATTGTTGGATACCTTTTTCTTCACCCAGAAGCGAAAGAGGTGGCTTGTGGTCGGTGTGGATATCAAAATGTCTTCCCCAGACGTACTGGTGGAACTCCAAAAATAATCACTCAGGACTCTCTGTCCAGTTTGGAGTAATTCCTTTCAACGGGTTGCAGGGTGCGAGAGTCAAAAGCGATTGGATGAAGAGAACCGTCATCCGTCCGGTGGCAAAAACTGCGCCTAATCTGCGTGGGAAAGTGTCACACTGCAGCACTAGAGGCCGCCTCGGATCGAAATGCACGGGGAAGCGTTGAGCACCCTTTTGCATATGTGAAGGCCTTTCTTTGATCCGGACGCCAAGTCCAGGACTTCCCCTCGTACAAGGGTTCAAATACTGTTGTGGCATTAGGTAAGAAGCGACGATAGTGAGAAAATATCCCTAAAACGATCGGAGTTCAGCTTCATTCTTGCGTTCAGGTGCGACAAGGATGGGCTTTAGTTTGTCTTCTAACACATGTAATCCGTTTTTATCAAGACGGTAACCAAGGTATTGAATAGCATCTGAGAAAATCGTACTCTTGGCCTTCTTCAGTTTGAGTCCACTATGTTGTAGACGTTCGAGCACAGTGGATAGCGTTTGTAAATGTATAGCATCTGTACGTCCTGTAATTAGAATCTCGTAAAGATAGGCGCAAGTAGAAGGAGTATCTTTGATCAGGTTATCAATGATTCTTTGCAATATCGCTGAGGCCGAACTGATTCCAAATGACAGACGTTTGTACTGGAATAGACCCATCTGTCTACTTATCGTAGTACATGAACGAAAGGTCTCGTCTAACACAATTTTTAAGTACGCGTGACTGAGATCGATCTATGTAAACTTTTTTCCGCCTGCCAGCGTGGCATACAGATCCTCTATCCGAGGTAAGGGATACTTATCCAGAATTAAACAACAATTAACAGTTAGTTTATAGTCACCACAAATATGCACAGAACCATCCGGCTTCAGGACTGGAACTATTGGAGCTCCCCACTCCTTGTATTGGACTGGCTCGATTGTTCCTGCTGATTGCAATCTCTTTATCTCGTCTTCCACCTTTAATCTCAGGGAATAAGATAGGGTACTGCCCTGAAAATGCGGGGCTGAGTTCCCGGCCGTGATTTGATACTAGCCTGATATTCGTGCAATTTTCCTAGTTTCTCATAAAAAACGTCAGCACATTTGTTGCGCACATCCTCCAAGCGCTGGTTAATGGAGATAAACTTCACTGTCTCTAGGATGGCCTGAAGGCATTTAATCCAATCGCGCCCGAGTAAGTTCGGCCAATCATTCGCCACAACATATGCCTGTAAGATTCGGTTTTCCCCATGGTAATTTACATGAATAGTGCATTTTCCCAGGAGTAGTATCAGCTGCCCAGTGTACGTACGCAAAGTTGATTCACAGGGGGATAACTTGGGTAAACTTTCAACTGGTGCAGCACTGATTATGGTAACTGAGGCACCGGTGTCAACTTCCATTTTAACCAACTGGCCTTCTATTTCCAGTTGCAGTGTAGGGTGGGTGAATGCTGCAGACGCTCGATGTTGCATTCCAGATCGTGTTTAGCTGGTCTTCGTCTGAAGACTGCACGACCTTCACGGGCTTCTTGGGAAAACGGGATGTCGCGGCTGTGCAAGCTTTAGATCGACAAACTCGGGCCAACTGCCTTAATTTTCCACATTGGCGGCAGATACTCCGTTTATGACAACATTCCGCATCGGTAACAGGTAACAGGCAGTTCAGACCGTCTCGAGGTCACATCTTTTCGGTTGACTGCTTTGATTGTGTCTGTATGAGGTTGCGAGGAAAAAGCTGCTAACTGTTTATGGGCATTCTCCAGCTCTCGAACAATATAGCAAGACTTCTCCTAGCTCATCGTCGTTTCATCTTCTGACAAAACCTTTCACGAGCCTGTTCGTTACGGATACCGGATATCAGCCACTGTAAAGCCATCGCCTCTTCGATCTTCGTAACTGGGATTTCACTATACCGACACTTTGGTAGGGCTTGCTGAATCCGCGCAATGAAATCAATGACACTTCCTTCAGGGTTTTTGACGCAAGGTCGAGAAAGAATTCCGCGCAGTGTATGTGTTCAGTCGTGAACTCCATAACACGCTGAGGATTTCTAGCGCGCTGTCGACTGTCTCCTCCTCACTGACATGGAGGGCATCAAAATGTCTTTGGTCTTCATCCCCCAGAAATTGTTGTACAAATTTAATTTTGTGGTTCTCGGAGAGTACCGTGTTTGGTTGCAAGACGGGTAGCAGCTCCAAATAATCCAAAAAGATGCGCTTCCAGCGGTTCCAGGTGGCCAGTGTTGGTTTTACAGAAGGAATCTTCCAAAGTATTGTAGGAGGTGCAACATCGCAGTAGTTTAACCTCGTCGCCAGAATGTTATGGCCCTTGACCGATGAACGGAACAGAACGCGCACGCGTAGTATGGAGCCGATTTACTAAAAGCATCCTGCGTTGCAGTGGCTAGAAGAGTCGGAAAGAAAAACCAATGAAATAAGGAAAGTAAGGCAAGGTCATTCTCAACCAATCATGTGAGGGCCTGTGTTTACAAATCGATACTCAAGTGCGTACGTGATACCTACATTTATGCATCCACATATATGAAAATCCTGTTATACTATTCCACACTTCTTGATCAATTGTTGTACTGTTACTATGAGTATACCTTTAATGGCGTGCCTCGCGTAGCCGAGAATAAAAATTTATTTATTTGATTGCCTCGCAAAGCTGTAGCAGAACTGAGATGATGCCTCGACTCCAGTGCATCCATTTGTCATGTGGAGTTCAAAAAGCATTTTCCTGTAAATCATCGTTCCAGAAACCTCGGTGGAGATGTTTCAAAATGGATAGCGGTTTTCTTGCCACTTCCCTAGTGGCTCGCCGGTTGGTGTGTGTTATGAGCCGTCGCAAAAATCGGTTTTGCTAATTGGGGTCGAAACCGAACGGACTTCTTAGGGCTGTATTTTGAGTACCAGAACACAGGACATTAGTCAGGGAGGATGTATGGGTGAACTGAACATAAGACTGAGCCAAAAGTAAAACTAACACCACTGCCACCGTCAAACCTAGACGGAAGCGCGTTTCATTATATAGGACAACGGAATTGTCCGGAAAAAATCCATTATTTCAGTGCTAATCGATTGTTAACGATTAGCGCATTGATCGCAAACCTTCTAGAATGTTCTGAAGCCAGCACGTGACTAACAACATTCCTGAAGATCGACCCACTTTATGGGGAACATCTAACCTTCTGATTCTAGAAGTCGTAGGTCATGAGGCGACCTGTAAATATGACCATGGTCTGCCGCCTCTGTACAGCTCCTGTTTGGCTGCCATTAACACGTTATTTTGGATACGGTCGTCCTGACTTTTTTCGTTATTTGGTTTTTTGGTCGTGCGAAATAGATTAAGTGCATGTTTCATATTTGCAGCAAGTGAGAAGATGTAACAGGACTGCAAGATCTTGTAAGTTTGTACAGGTACAAGCGACAACAACAATGTCTATGAACCACAGGAAACTTAGGCGAGCCATATGATAGGAGCATGCTGTTCTGGTACATGTGCATAGCTGTTAGAGTCAGTTGCGCACTTATCTTTTTCAGCAACGCAACTGTTTTCTTCCAGTGCACAATCACAGCCCACAGACAAGTTCCGCTTTCCGGATACTGCTGGTCGGTTTCGTGTACAGTGGTGCAACTTGGCTCACCTGTTTTTTTTTAAAACAAACTCTGTTTCGGGTCAGGTTGGCTCTAACCCTAACAGCATGACCGTTTGTATCAGACCACGGAAAGTTATCATGTGGGTTCGCAAGTGTAGTCCACCACTTCGGCACTTGTCGAGGTGTACACATGTGGTCTGTGGATCTACTACCGAAGCCGAAGCAAGCCCCAGTTCCACTGGCTCAGCTTTTCCGGAAAACAATTGGCCACTACAGTTGGAATGCCCGTGGGCACTGGCGCATATACTCGCGGAGTAGTTTGTTTCACCAGCCATAATCCGATGAGGAGCTCAGCGTCACCATTTGCACTTCAGCGTTAACCTCCGACTACCATTCGTTTCATCAACGTTTCCAATTTTAAAGAAATAAACTTTTATTCTCAGCTAAGCGTTGCACGCCTGCACAGGCATGCTCATGTTAAGAGTGCATCAGATGATCAAGGAATGTACAATAGGATTGGCATAGGAGTATCATATATGTTGGTACATGAATGTATTTATGCATGCGTGTATGCGTGTGTAGCTGTGTTGCTTGGCTTTGTAAAGGTTTTGATGCTTTTGCTTGTGTCTGAACGTGTCACCAATGCTAAAGGGATGTTTGATGTCCTTGGATTGGCAGTGATTGTACGGATGAGCATTACTTTGCTGGTATACAATGCTTCGCCATTATGAAGCAAGGGGCAGTGACTTTATTTTGTGGCGAGTCACAACCGCTACGTCACAGTGTTGTTAAACGGACATTAATGGCTTTTTATAGGGAGAACGCTTGCGAAGCGTAAACCCTCACGTCCTGGAACACTGCCGCCGAACTGTTTGTTGGAACGGGTTAAACCCGAAGCACCCAGCTGGCTCCACGGGGAGTTTGTTCGCCTAGTCAGCCAGCATCTCTTATACGCCTTATTTTTCTGTTCTGTTTCCTTCATCATTTCTACGGACCTCCATACTGATCTCATCCGCAGCAACCTCTTTTATCGTACCACTGTGTCTGCATCATAGATGGCGTACGGGACTACATGTATACTTTTAACAGGCCATTCCAATTCTCATCCGATGAGCAGTAACATCGCCTAGTTATTCTCTTGCTCGTCTTTTCTGCTTATCCACTCCATAGATCCTCAATTACTTGCCAGTCAGTGAACTGAGCAAAATCGAATCGGGTAACCCCTATGGCTCAAGAGATAGAGCCCGATTACAAGGCTGTTTTGGAAATGTCGGCAAAGTGTTGATTCCACGAAACTTCGTCATGCGACCAGGGCTTTCTCTTCTGCTTGGTCGATTGGGTAGACTGGATGTGATGCAGGTGAGGTGCAACGTGTTTTCCATTTCTCCGAGCATTTTCCTCGCATTTTCATCTGGTTTCTATCGGGTCCCTGGTGCCCTCCATCTCTTTTGATTTGCACTTGTTAGTGTTGTTTTTAAAGGCGCCGTTTGATTGCTTTGCCTTGGCAATCTAACCAATAAGGGTAATTTTGGCACTTCAGTGGGATTTCCTTTTTTCTTTTTCGTGTGCCATCAACGTAAGGCTATTTGAGCAGTTTTCTTCTTTATCTTGAGTTGTTAGAAGCTTGACGTATTCAATTTACCTTATTTGAATATGGCTCAGTTGTTGTGGAGTTCTCCGAGCTGGGCAACTTGGTTGCAGACGTTTCGCCACCATTCGAGGTGGCATCTTCAGTGCGGAATTGATAGCAGTCAAGTAGCAGTAGCTGATAGAAAGCAAACCCAATTATGGATCGAATATGGCTGTGTGTTAACGCTTCACAATAGGTCTAACACTTCCACACACAGGCCCACGCTCTTTCATCGATACTTCCATTTCAACATAGCACAACCAAAAGCCTACTGTCTCGGCACATAGAGCCTTATACGCACAGATTCTCTTACTTTTTCCACGTTGCATCCTGTTGTACAGTTCATTCCATCACATTCACATCTTGATACGCCATGACGAAATCAACGAATACGGCTTTATGGTAAGGCGGTTAGTCTGGTAAACGATAAGAACCACTGTAAAGCAAAGGGAAACGCAACATAGGCGAAATTTGTGTTAGGCACCTTGACGCCGAACCCAATCGAGAGATATGTCAGGCAGACCAATAGTCGGTCGTACGCACATGCGCGCAGCATGTGCCTGGGACCGTGTATCACACCTGCTTTGTCTTCACCCCTTTGGGCGACTTTGATTCCATCAACTTTATCTAAGCTGATGCTTTGCTGCACTTCCCAACGACAACGATCCGCTGCACCTCTCTGACTGGGTTTGCGTTGCTTCTCGGAGTTTCTTTTTCGTGGTGTTCCGATTATACTATCTGCTTACCATATTGGCTTAATTTTTCTCAGAAAACTTTGTTTTGCATTTCTGTGTGATTTAGACTGCGGATACTTTGTCATCAACTTGGGTAATATCGTGAGTGCATTTCGTTGGCAACTCAGACAGTGGACACAGATCTTGGTATATGTTTCAAACACTGGCGAGTGCACTTACACCGGATTGGTTGTCTCCTCATATGCTCAGAGCTACTTGAGTGCTTGTAGTTGGTCGTTATGATGATTGTTGCGAAGTTGGACGGATACTTGCAATGACATCAATGCGCCAATTATATTGGTCGTGAAATACGGTTGCGGTTCATTGTCAAATCACTAGCTCATGTTGTTACAAACTTCGCTTTCCAATTCACTTGGGCTCGTTAAGCGCTCCGTCTGTCAGAAGCCAACATGGTCTAGTCAATGTCTACACTTTGTCACTTTCACACCGATAGGTCACAAGATTGAACCTATGAAAACTGTTCGCTCGTGCTAAGCGTAGTTGCTCAGACGATTGTCTCCCTGAGGAGGTAGAGACGATTACCAGAACGCTGATGGAAAAGCGGTTACCCTAGACGTTTCATCGGGAAGCAAAATCACGTCAGACCACCAGAAGAACCGGTGTTGACAGCACCGAAGGCAATGGTATACCTCAAGCTCTCCATTTAGGGTTAGCATCCCCGCAAAGAGGACAATCAGGCGCTTAATCTATGCCTTTTCGAGAACCTGCTGCGCCGCAGAGGCTACAGTAATCCATAAAACTCGGGAACTGTCGCTATCTTCAGTAGAGGAAGAGAAGAGGCGCCAACTCACACTAGTTTTACCAAGTGTAACCGAGCAGTCAGTTCCTTGGACAGAACCGACAGGATTTTACATTCCAGTGAGTGAGTGAGCACCTGCCCAACAGGGTTCAGCGTGAGGTTACTGAATGTGAAGTCAATCAACCCCTGTCCACTATTCCGTGTCCACGCAAGCCCCCAGCATCATCAATGAACAGGCATATTCTGGTGACACGTCGTCGGATACTATCACCTCATCCTAATCCACGCTTACGGTTTGCCGAGGCCGTGGCGATAAGCCAGCTAAGCGTCGCCCTGTGTGTACAAAACAATCAGGTGTGGACCTTGGGTCGCCGTGGTCCTAGGACCATCGCCGTCGTTCGCCTCACTGCATTTAACCGGTTTGGTAACGCCCATTTAATCATTTGTGTACTGGCGGTACTTATAAGTACCACTTTGTTTAAATTGCACTATTGCTTTTATGCAAACACTATTCTGGCCGGTGCTCACGAGGACACATACAATAGCCTTCTGCCAACAATTACGTAAGGACCAGAACTCTGATACTTGGCTATACAGTGTGTGGAGTTAACTTTTGTGGTACATGTCGCGTGTGGTCGAACTTGGTTTCAGAGAACTGTGAGTGGTTGCTCTGTTTGGTAAAATTTAGTTGGTTTTGTTGCAGCTTATCAGTCCTAATAATTTTTTTGTTCTTCTAGTGGACATCCAAGGATTCAGTGAATTTTTTTTACAATTTTTAGCATAATCCGTATTTTACTAATTCAACATAACTGTTGGTAACTGAAAGTACCGCCAGGCCTCAAAGGTAATATTAACAGTTAGAGCTTTTACTGGGCACATAACGATGGAGTTGGGCGCAAAATTTAGAGGTTTGAACTATTTATTCTTGTAACAAAACATAATTTCATTAACAGTCGTTAACATGTTTATTTTACTGTTGCATATACATTCATTGTGTTACAAGTGGTTATCAAAATCTCTACTTTGTAGCTTGTAGTGGTGTCGAGCGGATATGAGTGGTTTTATTTATGAGTTTTAAGTGTATTAAGGCAAATCACAGAACACTCCTAATTCTAAAGACATTTGGTTTTGGGGTAGTGTTGTAGACAGACTCACTTGAACTTGCAAAGAGTTGGTTATGTCGTGATAATGGATAATTATTCTACATCTAACGAATATTTGAGCGTCTGAAGAAACATCTTCCTAAACTTTTAGAGGACAAGGAGATGATTATCGTTCCACAGATCAAAGAAGTGTGTTTTTCAACTGGGAGGACAACACGTGTGTTCATCTGTTGTCTAATTACCATGGAAGTGAATCTATTACTGTGCGTCGCAAGGAGTGGATCAGAACAGTGGCCGAAGTAGTGGGACTTAAGATAGTACAAGATTACAGTTCAACCATGATCTGAGTGGACAAAGCATGTATGCTGCGCTCAATATATGATTATGATAGGAAATCAAAAAAAATAGTGGCGCAGACTGTTTTTTTACAATTTTAGAAATGACATGTCAATGCATATGTGATGTATAAGGACATGCATCAAACATCTAATAGTGACGTAAGCGGAGCTGAATTTGGGAATCGAGTGAGAATTGATCGGCCAGCAAATACCAACCTGCGTCATAGGAATCGCACTATTCCGTCAATATGATTAACCCGTGGAGTGGAACTCACTCACACTGGCTGAAATTCAGACGCGGAATAGTGAGCGACCTTGATCTCCTAAATTAGCATAGAGTTAACTTATTCTGTGGTGGGACACTTTGTCTACCGAGTTATGGCCTTTTGTATTTCTTCGGTTGGCTGGGCGCGTGACTGAGAAGTCAGACAGTCGCGGTCTCATAGGGCAGCTAGCAGCTAGTACAACAGTTATTAGTGACAGAGAGCAGAGGGAAAGAAGAAGCATTATAACATCTCACTTCTGGAGTTTCGAAGAAAATTCCGACAGGGCTTGTCGCTATGGGAAGCAGACCAGTGAAAGAAAGTGTCGTCCTTCAATCCCATCAATATCGTCAAATGAACCAAAAAGAGGAAGAAAAACAAATATTCTGTGCTTAAAGACCACAAGACACAGAACGTTGGCGCTCACTGGCTTACATTTGTCGCAGCAACTGGAAGATATGCTAGTGTTCCATCCAAAAAATCCAATCTAGACGCCATTCAAAACGTTCTTTTATGATGTTTTTTTGTGCCGCAACAACCAAAAGTACTGCTTCAAAAATGTACCTTCCAGGTGATAATGTTGATCTACGTTCCTGTCGGTACTTACAAATACCACCTTAAAAATAAACATGAAAATGCTTACAGACTTTAATTTTTTACATTTTACCTTTATTAATAGCAATAATCTACCTTATGACATAAAAATCTGATGAGACATTTGTAGGTAAAATAATTCCCGATTGAAGGAGTTCATCATTATACGCACTAGCTGCAAGTGCGAAACCCCTCAGCTATGGTGCCGCAATACAAAAGAAAAGAAAAAAGTGAAACAGGGGAAAGCCGGCTGATTCACCAGTAACGGTTTGATATCGTTCCGGAGACCTGACAGCCGGATATGTGCCGCCAAAAGTCATATAATGCCTATTAATTGAGATCGTGGTTGGCACCGGTAATCGAACGTAACTAGCCTCTTTATGCCCTCTGATCTAAGGGGCCAGGTTTCACAACCGTACAGTAGGGTTGAACGTACGGCTGCATTGTATCATCTACCCTTCAGGCGCCATAGGTAGCGAAGGTTACCAAAAGCGCCTCGAGCTTTTGCTATACGCTTTGTTACCTCATCATCAGTTCCATCAGCGCTGGTACAACTACCCAGTTAGTTGAACTTTTGAACGACTTCTAACTGATCCCAACCAAGGGTCAGAGTAGGAAACGGTCCCGACCAACCTTGAACGAAAGCTTTGCACTTGGAGGGTGCAAAACATAGTCCGAAGTGACGGATAACCAGTGCTGATCTGTCCAGTGCCGCTTGACCCGTTTGGGAGCTGTCACAGCTGAGGGCAATATCGTTTGCATACTCCAACCCAAGAAGTCCTTCTCTTGAGAGCAGCTCCACCTTCTAAGTCGTATGCTGTGAATGCGATTTCCATGATTTCGTCTCACATTGTTGAAGATATTAAAGAGGGACGATAGCCTGCCGTAAGCCCTCAGTCTGCCCTAGCTACGCGCATAAAGCGCTTGCATAATATTTACATACTTCTCGGGCACACTTTTCCTAGGCAGACAATCTCAAAGGACACCTCAATCCACTGAATCGAAGGCACCTTTGATGTAGATGCTTAAGTAGGATACTTTCAGGTTGCGCGGGTCTAGACAAGAGAACGATTAGGGTTCTCTATTGAAAGGGTTAACGGAGTACTGAATACTGTATTATAGACCAAGTAGAAATTAATTCAGTACAACTCTTTCGAAATATGGTGAAAAACGTTATAAAAGTTGTCAGTCGTGAATATCGTTGTCGTTCTCATGTGACATTTAAAATATCTGACTTACGATATTTCAGGACTCACAATTGTGATATGTCATCGTAAGTATGCAATCGTTCTCTGAATCGAATAGTGGTAAAATATAAATTTAAACGTTTTGAACTGCTGCACAGATGTTGCCTCAATCACATGTTCAGGTAAACTGTTCCAAATGTTTACCACTGTCCGTTCGAAGCACAGTGGGTGGGGAACTCATTTCACATCCGACACGACAAGTTTGTATCTGTGTCCGCGTGTGCTGCATGGCCCTCGTAAGTGCATCATTGGCCTTAGCATTGGGAAGTCACCGACATATAGAGTACGGTAGGTCATAATGAGGTCGACTCGCACCCGACGGTAGGACAAGGTGTAGAGTCCTAGTTTCTCGCACCGGTCTTCATACCCCAAGCCACGTAAACTCGGCATGAGCCTGTTAGCAGCGTGTTGGACCCGTTCGATCTTTTGTGCCTCGCCTCGCGGACGAATTGTACTCTAGCGTTGGTCTAATGATGGAAGAGTAGAGGCGAGTGGCAACCTCTTCAGACCATGTGCCGAAGCTACGTTTGAGCGCCCAAAGCATGCGCAGTTTGTTACGATATATCCTGTTTGTGTTGTCCACGGACTTCAAATCGTAGCGTGAGAGTACACCTAGGTCCTTCACGGAGGGTGTGGGATATAGCGGTTGGCCGTCAACGGTATAGGTTCGGCCGTCAGCACTCTTCCCCAGGCTCATAAATACAGACTTGGCTGGGTTGAACGGGAAAAGAACTTCTGCGGACCATGTGGATAGGCAGTTGAGATCTTGCTGAAGTAGGCCACAGTCATCGGGAGTGGCAATTTCTCTCCAAATCTTCATGTCGTCCGCAAACAAGGCACACGGCGACCGGAGAAGCTGTTGTAGATCGTTGATGTGGATCAGGAACAGAGTGGGCCCCAGCACAGTGCCTTGAGGCACGCCACTTGTAGAGGGGTACCAGTCAGTTAGATGGTTGTCGACCTGTACCCTCCACTTTCGTCCAACAAGAAAGTCGCGGATCCACCGGTGCAGTGAGCTACCGACACCACACATTCTGAGTTTGTGAAGGAGAACCTCATGGCTGATCTTGTCGAACGCTTTGCTGAAATCGATACATATCACGTCGACGGACTTCCCCTTGCTTATTGCCTTCAACCACTCATGCCTCGTCACAAGCAGGTTCGTAATGCATGAGCGACTTTGCATAAAACCGTGCTGTGTGGGCGTCAGGACCTCGTTTAACTGTAGCAACTGAAGCAATCCCTTCTTCACGATTTTCTCAGCAACCTTTGCCAAAATAGGTGTCAGACAAATTGGCCTGTAGTTGTCTACTTTGCTAGGGTCGCCGCCTTTTTGAATAGGCTTCACCACCGAACATTTCCAGTCAACCGGCAACGAACCTTCGGACAGCGACCTGTTGAAAAGGTCAGTCACGACAGGAGAGATGATGGTCGAAAGTGACTTGAGAACCAGTGGGTGAAGCCCATCAGGTCCGGCAGGTTTGCTGCCGTCAAGGTTGGCGGGTAGTTGACACCTCTTCAACGCCGCATTGCAGACTATCGAGCTCGGTAAAAGCGGTACACGTCGAACTCGGAACAGACACCGGGTTATTCGCAAATACAGAAGCGAAGTGCGTCGCCAACGCGGACGCACGTTCAGTGCTGGAAGTTAGGGGCTGTCCATCCGGGCCATCCAGCACTGGCACATCACCTGCCTGCTTCAGGCGTCGCTTCACGTATGCGGTCTTCGCGGCTACTGCGAGCTGCTCTTCGAAATGTCGGAATATAAATAATTTCCTGTTGTTGCGTTGCTTTTTATGGAGCTCCGTGTTTTCAAACAACATACTTATTTTTTACAAGTTTTTCTCCCCTTTCCCTCTTTCCCCGCCGGCTGTTCCACCGTCGACACCCTCCTCAGGCTCCAGGTCCGGTATATTTCACCACCTTTTCGTTTCTTCCCGTCCACATTGTGGAACAGTCGGATGTGGACGAGTACATGGAGAAGCACGCCGCCATTCTGGGACCGGGTCATCGTCCATCTGACGCATCGGATGCTGTTGGACCATTCGGCACGCTTCCACCATTCGATTCCCGCGTTTTAGAACCAATAGAGGCACAATCGAATCTGGATTCATCAGCTGCTGACGTTGTGCTCTCTGGTGCCGGTAGGTAGCTAGATTCCCTTTTTTACCATTAATTTTGTGATTGATTGTTTAAACTCTTTGAAAATTCCTGTTGGGATTGGCACCGTTGAGCCGAAACAAGGAGAGTTGTGATCCCACTGCTTCGCTGTGACATTCCGCTCTTCCTTGACCTCAGTAGACACAGTACTGTTCTGGGCGAAAGACTCTCTGACTTCACAACCGTTGGCGGTCGTTCTTTACAATCTCCACTAGATCATGTTAAGAGAGTCATCAGGTTATCGGCGTTTTTCCCATTGCCTCTGTGTTGTTCACACACATTGCACTTTATCCGGTCGAGTCATAACGGACCATGTTGGATCGCAGAAGTTCTGTTTGATTCTGTTTTTTCGCGAACTTCTCATTTAAACCATTGCCACAACTCGGGGATATTGACAAAAGGCATGTGATGTGGAACAGCTGCCAAAATTCTGCGCACGGTACAAACAGACGGAAAGATTGTCTGCATTTGTTAGCGTCCATCATCATAATCATCATCAACAGAAGTACATCAGCCATTTGAACTGATGCTTCGCTGCCATACAACCGTGAGGACCTATGAAATAAAGAATAATAAGAGGGAGAGAAAGGGGACTTACCTGAAAACCTTAATGCTCTAAGCAAACATTCAGGGTCAAGGCGCCTACACCTTGTGCAGACAACATACCGTCACAAACAGCTGGCTATCGTGCAAAGATAAGGTGGCATCGGCGAGACAGCTTCCTTGTGGCTTTCACTGTCACACGTCATAATCAGCCATTACCCCGCAAATAACTCAGCACTAAACACACTTTAAACAGGCAATCCAATTAGGAGGCGGCAGCAGACGCGGCACTGGTGTCTACTGCGAGCCATGTCCTGTAAAGTGTCGAGCCAAGCACAAGGTGAGTCACCTTGACTCCAGCCCGAAAGGCGAGACGGACCAACGGCACCCAGTTTGGTTGTCAGTGACTTCATTTCCCGCTGCCAAGTCAACTTCTGTCCACCTCGAGCCTTGCGCCATCCGACACCTGGTAGACTGAACAAGGCCCTCCTAGGTAAGCGGTGACCAGGCATACGTAGCACGTGCCCGAGCCAACGCAACTTATTCAGTGCTATCTTTTGTTCTAGGGAGCTAGCATGATCATCACCACCTAGTACTCGCCTACGCACATTATCGTTGCGGACACTCTGGTGCCATCCGACACCAGCAATGCTTCGCAGGCTACGATGATCAAAGAGTTGCAGGCTCCTCAGATCTTCAGACCGAAGGGGCCAAGTTTCACTACCATAGAGCAGAACGGCCCCCACTGTGGCCTTGTATACCCGGCCTTTCAGACGGAGGGAAACTCCCTTCTGTCGCCAAAGATGACGTAGGTTCATGGAGGTAGCTCTGGCTTTTGCAATGCGTGAGCTGACGTCAGTTTCTATGCGCCCATCATTGCTGATGCAGCTGCCAAGATAAGTGAATTGATCAACCACCTCGAGTTCCTCGTTAGCAAGCGTCAAGGGGTCATCAAGTGGCTGGTGGTCCTGCAGCAACACTTTGCACTTTGAAGGTGCGAAGTGCATACCAAATAATGGGACCACTCTGGATAGGCTATTCAGGGTTGATTGTGCCGCCTCAACATTGCGAAAAGCAAGACGATATCGTCCGCATAATCTAGATCAACTAACCTTTCACCAGGCAGCACTTTAACGCCTACATCGTGAGATTTCGCAAGGGAACAATCCATGGTAGAATCCACGACGAAATTGAACAAAAACGGGGAAATCGGACAACCCTGACGACCGCCACTTGTGGTCGTAAAGCTATCCGAAAGAACACCGTAGACCCTGACGCGGCCTGTAGTGTTCGAGTATATAGCACGTAGGATGTTCATATATTTTGTGGGAACACCTTTCCGCGCAAGTATTTCGAACAGAATCGATCGATCGACTGAATCGAAAGCACTCTTGAAATCGAGGAACACAGCTATTGTCGGTCTGCGGTAAGCGTGGCGCTGCTCTAGAAACTGCCGCAAAGTGAATATATGGTCTATACAGCCACGTCCTGGGCGAAAACCGGCCTGCTCTTCTCTTATCCGAGATTTCCATTCCGCAGTGAGGCGACGAACGAGAATCGAGGCCAGTAATTTCGTCACAACTGGCGTTAGTCTAATACCCCTGTGGTTAGAACCGTCTGTGCGACTGCCCTTCTTGTATACTGTCACAATAATCGATTCGCCGCAATTAACCAGGACACTCTTACTTCCAGATACGTTCGATCAGGGAGGTCAACGCTTTGCAGACGACCTCACCTCCATCCTTAAATAGTGCAGGTGGGGGGGAATCCGGGCCAGCGGCACGAAAACGATTGAGGGCTGCCATCACGTTTCGGACCTCGGCCTCCGGCAGAGGCTCTAAACTAACTGTCCATGGCTCGTCTTGCATCACCCGAGTAGGAAGAGGTCCGAAAGCAGGGGGCCAGCTAAACTGATCTTGAAAGTCTTCCGCCCAACGAGCCATACGGCGCTCCTTATTGTGTATCAGCGCACCCGCGCTGTCTCTGATTGTTTCACTTACGTCTGGTTTTCTGGGATCAGTGGTGCGGATCAGTTGGAAGAGCTTGCTGTAATTGCCTACTGCTCCTGCCTCCTCCATTTCTTGAGCTCTACTGCTCCACCAGGCTTCTTTGTCAGCACGTAGGCTCTGCTTTAGTTCACGCCTAATAGCCAGTCTGGTCACATTGTGTTAAGAGCCAGCCGGGAGGTTTCTTCTAGATTCCAACAGGTTCACCGATTTCTCGGATGTCCAGCAACTGGTGCAGGGATGATGGATAGTGCCGCAAGCAGATGCCCCTGCGTCGTGCATGGCGACCGAGATCCTATTCCATTGAAACTCAGTGTCATTAGGACAAGACAGCCGAAGTTCGGTACACAGTGCGTCTTGATAGGCTTGCCTGACCGAGGGCTGAGACAATTCCTCAGTTGCCAATCAGAGGAGATGCTTGGTGCGCCTCCCGGTAAAGTTCGTAGAGAAACGACAGCGTACCAAGGCATGATCAGAGTCGACACAGGTACTCCAGTACGAGCGGCAATCCAGGATGGAAGCACGCCATCTGTAGATTATGGCTATGTGATCACTTTGGGTTCATCGCTGGCCAACTACAGGAGGACGCCAAGTGGCACTTGGCGCTCACGGTGTCTAAAAGCAGTGCTACTAAGAAACAACTGGTGCTCCGCACACAGTTGCAGCAGACGCTCACCGTTGTCAGTCCATTCGGAGTTAAGCCCACAATTGCCACCCAGCTGAGCTTCTGAAGTACTCAGAGCCCTACTTGTGTTCATATGCCCTGAAATTACTATAATATCTGAACTAGTAGCACTGCGTAGTAGCGAGTTCAGTTCGTCATAGAATGTGTCCTTGACAGCATTAGAACTGCAGTCGGTGGCAGCATAAACGGAAATCACAAACAAACAGCGTTTTGTTTTACTTCGCGAATTCACCTTAGCTGATGTTGTCAAACGGGCTGCACATAAACGGCTGTTCACCGGAATCCAATTGACCAACGATGACTCAGCCTTGGAGCTGAGAATGATACCTACACCAGCTTGACCCGTGAGTGCTGCATCGGTGTCCCCGGATGCGTACAACCAATGACGAGAGGATGAGACGGGTGCAGTTAATTCAATAACCCCGTTAGGGCCATGGATCCAGCACTCATCAATAACCAGTATGTCCAAGGTGCGTGCGAGTGCAGTCTGTTGAGCAATTCTTCTTAGAGTGTGAAGGTTGAGCGTCGCCATGGAAGCGGGAGAGTGTGACGTAATAAGGGTCAGTTGCCGATAAGCGTCCGGTGCGTGTCGCGAGAAGGTGGCTGCAGATGGTTCTACTCCAGTGGCACTTCAGTTGCTGTAAATTAAGCTGGGAATTATAGAATGAAGGTTAGTAATGGGACTCGGGATGGGAGTAAGAGGAACAGGTGGAAAAGATGGAATGGGGGCGCCAGCAGTAGCATGTTTTCGCTTATCCGCCCTGCTGTACGCAGCAGATAACGCGACCCTTGATAATCCGCGCGACGGCCGATGCAGAATGAAGTTTATGTTTGAAGAAAAAGTCACGGTTACATGTAGGCTGAGATACTGCCAGGGCGCCCAGACCTAGACCGGAGGACGATTACGGTCTTCATCCAACGCCTTTGGCTCAAAAGCCTGTCCGCAAGGCAGCGGGGAGTTGGCATTGATTTAGTTTTATAGAAATGGACGCCATCCCATTTAAAACCCTTAACCTGGAGGACCGGGAGACTGAGTTCGTCTGACCTCTCATCATTGACCAAGCTGGTAGGAGTAGCTCTTAAGATGCCCGGAGGCACCACCCAATATAGCTCAATGGGTCAATAAGGTACGCAAACTGTCGCAGCACGTTAAGGCTAGAGCTGTTAGATTAGCCAAGCTGCTGACAGGTAGTTGCACCACGTAACTCGCATGATGTTTCTTGTAATCTCCAATAAATCTTGTTGATCGGTGCGGTTTTTTTTCAGTTGTGCTTAGCTTCCTCGACAGTTTTCTTCTCTTCACAGGCCTATTCTCTCCTCAGCTGGGGGCTCCGGTGTTAGGCGCAATCCTTGGTTCAGCTTGCAGTTTTATTCCAGTCGTCATTTGTCTCATTTAATCGGTCGGTGACGGAAAGCGCTGCACGCCTGACTTGAAATCCTTAGGTCACCAGTTCGAATCCGCGTATGAGCGAGCGTCATTGTGGTATACTAAGCCAACGCGCGACCGGTGGTAGTCGCGTGGCAGCGAAGCATCGGTACATTGGGTCGGTGTGCTGCAGATGCCCCTTTGCCTCTCCGTTGAAGTGCTTACTTAGGAGACTTCGAGACCAATGTGGCTGTCCTTTTTGCAGTCCCGTGCGAGAACCAACTGTCCGGACTTAAATGAGCGCTGTCTTGCTTCGTGTCACCGGTCAAGATCCTGTTCCATTCTGACAATACTCTTCTTGCAGGTACCAGAGAGAATCCACCG